CCACCCAGTCGGAGTAAACAGAGCACGTAAGAGGTCCTTACATGCACAAAATTGAGTGTAGGCAAAAGGTAAAACGCTTACAAGAATAAAACATGATCATGCCCGAAAATACACAACAATCCGTAACATAAAAGTAGAAATCAAAGATGTCGAAGTAGCAACCATTACAGCTATTGACTTATTTTCTTGGATATTAAAACGGCCGGGACAATAGAACTAAGATTTAGCTGCAATTCGATACAATCAGTTCTTCGCGAAACAGCCAGTGTTTGGTTAGTGAATGGAAGCATGCTCGGGCATGCTAGGTGTACTGAACTCGGTGGCTACGAGACTTACTTAACTGGTGTACAAATTGTCCCAAAGCCCTGGTTTTAGGTGAACCAATGGGTGGTTAATTCACAGCCAAGACAAAATACACAAGAAGAAAACTAGAAGGTAGTAGGTAACATACGTCAATTATCTCAATTTCTTCGGTCGGTCGTGATGCGTCAGTCTGCCTCGACTTCCGCATATCCTGAATATTGATCGTGACTGCAGTTGTTTGTACCTCATTCAGGCCAAATCGGGTGTCTAGGCAAATTACTGAACCATTCACAGCGACTATTGCACCACCATCGTAGCAGACACGACCGGCATCACAACCAACGAGGTTGGCATAGGCGTAGGACAGTCCCTTAGTCGACGCCGATTGCACAAGGTGCACGCGATTTTCTAGCTTCCGCAGTTCGTGGTGGCTTGCGCTGGCGTTCATCACTATATCGGCACCGGCTCGAGCGTAGGCTACATGTGGGGGTGCCGCTACCCACAACTCCTCGCAGGTTTCCAGACCAACAAGTAGAGGACCAGAGGAAGGTGTCGAAAAACGCAGAAGCGGACATCCAAACGGAGCAGAGGTCTGTTTATGCGGTGTCGCAGTGGCTATTATTTCCGGAAGTGGGTACTGACGCAATTTGTCCACATGATTCCAGGCGGAGAACCAGCGAGGTTCGCGATGTAGCCCACCGTCGGCAAGCACAGTTTTTGGCCTGATAAGCAGGATGCAGCCATTGAGGATGATCAGTCGACAGTTGAAGCGAGTATTGTCGAACATCACCGGCATTCCAATGTCACAAACAATGTCTCTATATGCGGCATCTTCAGTTGTAGACTTTAGAATTTCAGCTAGACACTCCCAAGAATGAATGTAGGTATCAGCCTCATGGAAATGGTCTTCACAACCATAGCTGGAAAGTTCCAGTTCCGGGCCAAGTCGATAACGACTTCCCTCTTGCTTCGCTTTCAGGATGCTCTGCCGGATTCTTTTTGTATTGCCGGCAAAATCAAGCGCCCACTGATTCAGGCAGCAAACAGAGAATGTAAAGTTCAAAGAAGATTCGTTTGTATCCATGAAACTGTGGAACATAAAAAAAATTAAATAAGCTAAGCGGGTCCCTTTGGTAATTAAGTGTTATAATAGAAATCCAACGGAGCCTAAATATAATCGGGCGTTTATAAATAAAAAATGAGTACATTAGTGGCACGAAATTTCGGACGC